AAATTGTTAAAGTTCAGGGCAATCTGAAAAATATAACCAAACTCCTTTTTTAAAAAAATTTTTCAGCTCATACCAATAGATCTGATTTCAAATTATTATCAGTCATATTTATTAATCTTGCATGCATCCTTTTTCTCTATGAATGGTGATTCTTGGATGCTTCTTGATTAATTCACAGATTCACTCATCCATCAAGCATTTATTAAACACTTGTTTATGATTAGGACTCAGAGATAAAGATAAAATAGGCGCTTCAGACATAAGTCTGGAATTCTCCAACAGAAAATTCATAGCCCGGTGAATGATAACTTGAGCCAAAGGCCAGGATGTTTTTCCTTGGCTCCATTCTGCAGTGATGGGTGATCTCATGACCAGCTCAGGGAAGCAAGCAGTTAGCTCAGCATGTTGGTTTTGGCCTCACCTGATGCCAGGACTAGAGAGAATTGGGCCAACTCCTTTCTAAATGAGTGGGAAGTGTCACTAAAGCATGATAAAGAGCTGGTCACATAGTAGCAGGCTGTGTTCTCACCTCCAGCTCACTTTTATACCCTTGTGTGCCTCACTGAGGTGGTTCTGCTCTGCTTGGGCTCCCTTCCTCTCACCCAGTTATCAACCACATGCCTCCTTCACTATTTTCCAATGGGAAATAAACTCAGGGCTCTTGCCAGCTAGACCTCCTGCTGTTCTGAAGTCTGATGTTTGAATATTCCATTGTTGCCCAGTTTTGTTGTTTCTGGGTTTTTAATATGTGTTAGTCAGTACTTGTTCCAGTTCAAGTGTCAGAAAATAACTCCACGTAGTTTAAGTCATAAACACCACATTGGGGATATGGTCTCATTTAACTGAGTATCCTTCAAGGACAACTGGATCTAGATATTCAAATTTTATTGGCAAGGCTTCATCTATCCAGTTACCTATCTATTTACCTATCTATTTCACTATATCTCTGGTTCTGCTGCCTTTTGCAGCTATAAGCTATAAGCAGGAAGGTCTACTGGTTGGGAAATATCACCATTGTAGTCCACAGCTCATCACTAAAGGCTCATGATACAAAAGTAAGACTAAGTTCTTGGCATCTATATATCAGACTTCAAGGAAGATTTGAATTGGCTCTGTTTGGAACACATGCCTGACCTATGTTAATCACTGTGCTAGGGGGATTGGGATGCTCTAACTGGCCTGCCTGGACTGCATAACTGTGTGTGTGTGGGGAGAGGGGGGAGGGGTGAGACCAAAGTGAATGACATGCCCATCAGAAGAGCAAAGAAGGGCATGAGTGGGGGGGATGGGGAGTACTGGGAGATAAGGACACATATGTAATCCTTAATCAATAAAAGAAATTATTTTAAAAAGAAAGAGCAAAGAAGGGATGCTTGCCATAGTTTTACTATTAACATTCATTAATTACTCCAACATAATTCTACTATGAGTATCCCCACATGCCCCTGCTTCCTTGTTTCTGGTTCTATGCATTATCCCTCCTAGAAGCATGGCCCCTGTGGCTTTCAGACCCTACTAAGTTGACACAACAATAGAAAATTACAGGAGCATAAAAATCTTGAGTCTTTTGAATCTCAGAAAAGGAAAACTTTTTAGGTACACACTAGCTTCCATTGAATTATCTGACTTTCCAGAAAACACAAGAAAGGGAGTGTGATAATGAACTGGCTGTGAGACCTCCACTCCTACTTCCCCCTTCCCTGCTCCTGCCTGCATTTGGGAAAACACTTATGGATGATGAACGCTGTTACCAACAAGACAACGGTGATTGCTGATGTGGCACTTGGAGTCATTTTCCCTTGAGAGAACAGCTGAGGACCGGATAGAATCAACCAGCTGAGTCTCTTCAGGTGCTTAACTTTTATGTGAGGGCTCTGGAGCTCAATAATTCATGCTAATGCAGCCAAGAGCAAGCAAATTATGTTCACACTCTGTTCCGATTTTGATTACAAAACAGAGCCCCCAGTGAGTTTTAGGATGGAAATACACACTTAGGTGACTTCAGCTGGATGAAGAGCCAGGCTGCTTTGAGGTCAAATCATCCTAAGTCAATCTCGGGGCTGCCATATACAAGCTGTGTGACCTTGTGTTATAACATCAAACACCTCACAACCTCTGCTTCTTCAATAATAAAATGGGGTGTTCCATCTACTTGATTGGGTTTTGAAATCATATGATTGCGATAAAACATGCAAAGTGCATTTAGGCAAATGCCAGAAATTTTTCTGTGGCTCGCCAGAACAACGATAATTGTTCAAGTCCTTCCCTTTTTCAGATTCTCTTCCTCCCCTTCCCTTCCTCCTCCTTCACAGTATGGGTATGAATGTAGAACTGAGAATACAGGAGAGGGGTTGTCCAGAATGAAGAGAAAGAAGATGAAAAGAGTCTTTGTGTTAAAAATAGAAATTGTAAATTTTCACAATACTTACTTATACTGAGGGGAGGTAGAGAAAAGATGATGGGTTTGGGAGGGCAGAGTAAATACACTAATGATAGCCATTTTACAAAGTTCAATGAGATAATCTATAAGTTAAAAAAAAAAAAAAAAGCATTTTTCTTTTGGACATCACCATGGCCCTGCAAATACCCAGAAATCAGAATCATTTGCAGGAAGTACACCAAGTTCATACTGTGAGGTTTTACAGGCCTGAATATACGTATTTCATTAAACTGGGGCATTTATGCACTCAAGTGGTCCAGTGGCTTAGGAATATATGACTACTACTGGTCATGTGGAGCAAAAATAATGTATAAGTTTAAATCAATGGAAAAGGTATCAACCATCAACAAAAAGAAACAATTATGAATTAACATCCTAACCAAAGAAAGTACCACAGTTGGCACTTGGTGTCAGAAAACTGGAGATTAAGTATGTTTGACAACACATGTTGTAATGTTATGGGCTCTCTCCAACTCCCATTGGACAGTCCACCCATGTGCTAGGGTCATTTATGGTCAACAAAACCATTGGCATTATCTCAGGGTTTCAGAGTCAATGCATCTTCGAAGAGGTTTAAACATTTAGTGTAATTTTAGTTTTCTATACATGCTCAGTAGTCATTAAAATGTGTCCAAAAAGTTGGTTGCATAGTTTGCCAATCCTACTCAGCTTGGCTTATTTCCTTCCCATATTTTTCTCCCATGTCTTTCACTTCTCATCCCTCAGTTTTATTTATTTTATTTTTTATTATCCAATTACAACAGGCAATGCAATCAATTTGTTGTAGAAAAGTTAGAAAACACAGCTAAGCACTTAGGGAAATAATTTTTTTAGTACCGGTATTCAAAAATCTCACCACTTAGAAATAACCCCTCTTAAAATGTGGGTGGATAGCCATCTAGCATTTAGCATTTTCCCAGGTAAAAAAAAGATATATATGTATTTATAATGAATGTTTAGTCTACAGAACTGTTTTAACCTCTTCTATTATACTTAACAGTATATTCTGAGTAACTCAATGCTATTAATTATAGATCAACATCATCAATTTTAATAACTGTAGGGTATTCCATTGTATAGGTGCATCATAATTTATTCAGTCAATTCCATTTATCCTCGGCCCTGTAAACCTCCTAGTACGCACATCTTTGATGCTGGTTTGCTGTGGATGAGCTGTGTTCCTGTGGTTTCCTACCCACTTTGGGTTCCTCTTACTGTACCCAGGGACCAGCAGGAAAGCATACTCTACCATCCATCAGCAAGGTGCTGCTGCTCGGTCCTGACTCTACCCCTAACCTGCTTGAAGTTCCTTTTCACATGAACATTGCAGACCGGAAGGTCCCTGAAGAACAGAATGAATGTTTTCTTACATCCCCTTACAAAAGCAAGGCTGCCCCAGGAGAGAGGATTGTTCACCCCAGTGCTGGCAAAGCACAAAGGAAAGCACAATCCCAGGTGACACTGACAAGCTTTCCCTTAAACCTACGAGATTAGAACTTTCAGTTTGTCAAACTGGCTTCCGGGAGACCAGAGTGAGGTCATTTCTTTGTGGAGAAACCGTTTCAATTAGGGGGGAAAAAAGGCATTTGACTGAAATAATTATTTAGACAGACAACAGAATGATGATTCTTTAAGTACATTTTAAATATTGATGGTTGATTTCTGACTAAGGATTTGTCAGTTATACTTCCTAGAGATGCAAACACTGGTGAGGGTTAGTTTCTAGAGAAGGCTGAAGACCAGTTCCGCGGCATCACCTTCATGTAACATTCACTCTCTGTCTTGGGGATTTTTTCAGCCCAGTTTTCTTCCCATTGATACTGAGGACTCTGTAGAACTGATATCATCTGCCGTCCATGATAGGTGATGATAATAAGGGAGATCATTTATTGAGCATATACTAGGTACAAAGCTACAAAGCCATAAGCTAAAACTATTATAAATATCACTTATTCCTCACAACTCCCTAACGAGGTGGGTGTCCTACTGTCACCTCATTTTATAAATGAATGAGGTTTAAGAAAAGAGTAAATAGCTTGAGCATGGTCACACAAGGGGGAAGAGGTGGAGCCAGAATTCACAGTCCGTGTCCAGGCCCCCGGAGTCACTGACTCACTCAAGTGCGTGTAGCTGTGGAGTTAAATCCAAAACCCTGTCCCTGCATAGTGGTTAAGAACAGGAGCTCTAAACTCAGGTGGCCCGAGTTCAGATCCCACATCTGCCATTTCCCAACTGCGTCACCCCAGGCAAGTTATTCAACTACTCTGCACCTCAGTCACCCTACTTAGAAAAGGGCATGATTAGAGTGTCCATCTCAAAGATATGGTCCACAGGTCATCTAATTCTACCATATACTAGTAATTCTACATACAACTCACCACCTAACTCTACTCATTCATAACAACCTCCTTTGTGGTAAACATTGCATTCAGTGTTTACAGACCCACAAGATGATCCGTATTTAGCACTTAGAGTACATTGGGAGGGTTTTGTAGTTAATTATTAATATGATTCATTCTGTTCCTCCAGCCTCTAAGCCAAGTACATGTTTTATTGGCAGGTGCCTCGAGCAAAGGCCTTATGCAACTACCGAGGACAGAATCCTGGTGACCTGAGGTTTAATAAGGGAGATGTCATCCTCCTTCGGAGACAGGTGGACGAGAACTGGTACCAGGGGGAGATCAATGGAATCAGTGGGTTCTTCCCTGCTAGCTCTGTGGAGGTCATCAAGCAGCTGCCCCAGCCACCCCCACTTTGCCGGGCCCTCTACAACTTCGACCTACGAAATAAGGACAAGAGTGACAACCAGGACTGCCTGACCTTCCTCAAGGTAAGATTCTGGGCAGCTACCAATGTCACAAGTGACCATGGAGAGACTGTGCAGAACCTGGAGTTGTTTGCTTAATATTTGGTTATATTTTTAAATTCTATTAAGTGTGTATATCTATGTATATATGTATGTATACACCATACGTGCTTGTATATGCAATGTGTGTGTATAATTCAAACTACATAGACATGAAGTCACTAGAGAAATCTATTAATAGCAGTTTGATAGAAATCCTTACGCCTTTTCTATTGCAATTATGAGAATAAACATTTACACATTCATTCATTCATTCATTCATTCTACAATCACTTGGGAGACTTATTTTTTTTACTTTTTAAAAATATATATTTTTACTGATTTCAGAGAGAGGAATGGGGAGGGAGATAGAAACACCAATGAAGAGAATCATGGATTGGCTGCCTCCTGCATGCCCCCTACTGGGGATCCAGCTCACAATCCCAGCATGTGAGCACCTATTCTTTGCAGGCACTGGGGTTACAGCATGAACAAGTCCCAGTCCCTGCAGAACAGTGGGAGGAACGGACATGTGGACAGAAAATCACAAACACAATTTGATAGCATGCTTGCAAAAACTACAATTATTACCTCTTTATCATGTATCTGTAAGGCTCTTCTTACCAACCAAGTCCTCACCACCTAATTCTTCTCATTTACAACCATCTATTTTGTTGTAAATGTTACATTCAAGACACTCCAAACACACACCATAGCATAATTATACCTTTAGACATAACAAACCTCTTATAAGCCCTGGCCAGTTTGGCTCAGTGGATAAAGCGTCAGCCTACAGACCGAAGGGTCCCGGGTTCCATTCCGGTCAACGGCACATGCCTGGGTCACAGGCTCGATTCCCACTCGCGGGTGTGCAGGAAGTGGCCGACCCATGATTCTTCCTTATCGATGATGTTTCTATCTGTCTCCCTCCCTCTCCCTTCTTCTCTGAAATCTATAAAAATATTTTTTTAAATATGTCTATCATTAAAAAAAAGAAACTTTTACAATATATACTTTCCAAGGACATCAATCACCCTAAAAAATATTTTGCCTGCATTCTTCTACTAAAGTCTAGACTACTTTAATTCTCTGTGTTTAGTATTTTTTATTCCTTCAAATTTCATCTAGAAACCATAGTTGGGATGGTTTTTATTCTTTGCTGCTTATGATAAATCTAAGAAGTGGCACTGTCACACTGGCTCGGGAAAGGTCTGTTTTGTAGGACATTTTTATTCCACCACTGCCAGAGACAAGATTTACCTCAGATCCCCTCCTACTAGATAACCTCACTGCCCTCCACATTTTGAAATACTGATCATTCTTGTCTTGGCACTTCCAAGCGAGTCCCTGAAGGAAGGTCATTCTGTGGCCCAAACTGCACAGGCCGTATTTCACCTGCAGTCAGGGGAAGGACAGTTCAATTCCACAGGCCTTTTCTCAGCGTTCACTCTGTGCCAGGCATCAGACACTGTGCTCTGGGGACGCAGCTGGAGGAAGACATAGGCAGGGAGCATCCTCTGCTTGGGGTTTTGGGGGGTTTGTTTTTGCCCCTCTCTGGGACACTTAATCTACCAGCTCATTCGTGCAGTAGGCCCATTCACGTGCCAAACTGTCCACTGAGAACAAAGTGATGAGTCACTACCATCACAGACCCAGCAGACTAGTGAAGAAACAGACACATAAATGGTAAATTATGACAAGGAACCAAAAGAGAAAAATTGGATTCATTCTGGGAGGGTATGGGAGGTGAAACTGCACTAGGAAATGGCATGCTCTTTCTGAACTCAGTATATCCAAATTAAACATGGACTCAGCATGATCTTTCCCTGTGCTTTCTATCTCATTAAATTGTACAATTTTTTCACACATTCATTTATTTATGAATGCATTCATTCAAGAAATATTTCCCCCATGGCCAATGCTGCTCAATGGTTAGTGTGTTAAGCCACACACCAAAGGGTCACAGGTTCAATTCCCAGTCAAGGACACGTGCCTGCCTGGGTTGCAAGTTTGATCTCCTGCCCTGGTCAGAGAATATGCAGGAGACAACCAATCGATGTCTCTCTCACATCAATCTCTCTCTCTCTCCCCTTCCCTCCCATCACCTTCCACTCAAAAATCAATAGAAAAAAAAATATCCTCTGGTGAGAATTAACAAAAACAACAACAACAAGGAAATATTTATTGGATGACTCCTGAAGAGAGGCCACTGTATTAGGCTCTGGGACATGGAAATGAACAAAATAGACCCAGGCCCTGAGCACACAGAGTTTATGTTCTAATGGGGTAGATAAGCATGAAAGAAATACTAACCTCTAAATATGTATTGCAAAGTATAATAAGGACAGAAAAGTTAAGGTATAATGCAGTAAATTAACTTAGATTTAGTTTTATTTAAATTACCCAGGGTAATTTAAAAAGAACATGCCATTTCCTAGTGCATGGGTTAGAAGGTCAAAGAGATCAACAGGTGACTATTCAGGTGTAGATTGATGTAAGGTATGGATGTGGAAAGATGTCCCTAATATGGTATTAAGTAAAAAATGAATGTGTCCTACATTTGTATGAAGTGCAAAAAGAGGCAGAATGAACAGGCATAACAGGCATATTAGAAGTCAGAAGAGTAATTACCTCCTGCTAGGTAATAGGAAGGGTACAAAGGAATCTTCTAGATACTGGCCATGTTTATAACTCTTGATCTGGATGGTGTTCCATGGATATAGTTAATGTAAAAACTCATCAAGCTTCACATATAAAATTTATGTACTTTATTATATTAACTTGTGTATGTTTTTGAAACAGATTTTAAGAATAAGTATGTTTTTTAAAATATATTTTTATTGACTTCAGAGAGGAAGGGAGAGGGAGAGTGAGATAGAAACATCAATGATGAGAGAGAATCATAGATCAGCTGCCTCCCACATGCCCCTACTGAGGATTGAGCCCATAACCCGGGCAAGTGCCCCAGCAGGGAATCAAACCATGACCTCCTGGTTCACAGGTCAACGTTCAACCTCTGAGCTACACAGGCTGGCCTAAAAATTAGTATGTTTATATGTACATGTATATATATGTTCTCTTCATATAAAAAAATCTGGGGGGGGTGTTAACTAAGGTGCTAACAGTGGTCATACCTATATTGTGATAGAATTTTTTTCTTTGTTTTGCTTTTCTGTATTTTCAGATGTTTCTATGTATAACCTTTTATAATTAAAAAAAGTCTACATATTATATAATATAAACTTTTATAGTAAGAAAAAATTGAGTTAAAAATCACTTTACATTTGATACACTGAATACTGATAGGTTCTGAAAAGTTCAAAATCGGAATGAAATTCATTCTTCCTTTTGCTAAGATCGTCTGTCTCCCTATGGCTTTCAACTTGATTTCCTCATCAGATTAATTTAAATGAGAAGGCCAGATTCTGCTGGTGATTTAAAATCAGAAACATTTCTAAGTTTTCCTATTGGAACCTACTGATCCTCCAAATTATTCCTATTTCTCTTGTGTCTTGGTGATCCAAATCTGGCCCTTTATGGAAAAAGATGATCTAGCAGGAAATTTTTGTAAACAAATCATAAAAGAACTCTATGCCTTGTACCTCATACCATCTGGGGCTCCAAGCTGATGTCCACTGAGAGCTTTCCCTGCCTGAAAACATGACGCTGACCATGAGACGTTTTTTCTTTCAGGATGATATCATCACTGTGATCAGTCGAGTGGATGAGAACTGGGCAGAAGGGAAGTTAGGAGACAAAATCGGCATCTTCCCAATCTTATTTGTTGAGGTATGTGAGCAGCAAGTGTACATCTGATTAAGCCAGATGTACCAGAAAGGTGCATGTAGCACAGTGATTTCTGAGAGCAATTTCCATTTGATCTGAGGCGTATTCAGAACTAACTACAATCTCTAAGAAAAGATGCCAGATGACAATATCCAGTTCTGGCAAGAGGAAGGGGCAATGGGCCTTTTTATTCTGCTGATAGGAATGTAAATTGGTGTCATCTCTCATATTCAAACTCTAACTCATATCAAGAATGTTAAAAATGTACATCTCCTTTGAATCAGCAATTTCACATCAGAGAGTTATGATATGGTAATATTAAAATAAGTATGCAGAGATACATGTATAAAATGTGCAAAAATGTTCACCATTGTGTGAAATAGTAAACACACACACACACACACACACACAGAAAGAAACAATTAGAATTTTGTTTTTAAAAATAATGGTGATGAAAATAAATACTTATTAAAAATAATATTAGAGAAGCATATTCAGTATCATGTAGTATTTAGAATTATGGGGAAATGTTTATGATTTATTGTTAAATAAAATAAAGTTTAATGGGTATAGTGTTCTAGAGATCGATTTCACAACCATATACTTACACTACTGAACTGTACACTTAGAAATGGTTCATCTGATAAATTTGATGTTATATGTTTTCTGCCAATAAAAAGAAACAAATTGAAATATATAAAACTAGCTTTCCAAATATATGTGTATCTATTAATAGATAAAGAACTAAAAGGAAATGTACTAAAATATCACCAAATGGTAAGATTCTAGATTATTTCAATTTTTTTTCTGCTGGCTTGTATTTTGTAAATCTTCTGAAATGAGTACATATTGCTTCTTTGTTTTTAAAGAGGAAAGAACACAAGCTAGGATATTTACTTTCTAACCTCTGTAACCCTCAGCCTCACCTGAGCTTGTAGCAGGTCATTGCAAATTTAAAGGAGAAGATTCAGTGATTAACTGCATTTAGTGGATGCTTACCCTGCATAAAGCAATAAAAGTGCCCTGGCCGGTATGCTCAGTGGTTAGAATGTTAGCCCTGGTACCAAAGGGTTGCAGGTTTGATCCCTGGCCTCCCAATGGGAATGAGTGTGGGAGGTGGGAGGCAACCAATCGATGTGTCTCTCTCACATCAATGTTTCTCTTTCTCTCTTTTTTTCTCCCTCTCCTCCACCTCCTCTCTCCCTCTTTCTCTCTCTCCCTCTCTCCCTCTCTCGCTCTTCTCCCCCTTCCCTCCCTCTGTTCTCTCTTCTGCTCTAAAAGATCAATGGATCAGATGCTCAAACCTCAGAAGGTGGGGTAAGGGGGAGAGAGCAACCAAAGGACCTGTAGGCATGCATATAAACATCACCAATGGACACAGACACCAGGGGGTGAGGGCATGAATGGGGTGGGGGGGATGAGAGGATAAGGACACATATGTAATACCTTAATAAAATAAAATTTAAAAGATCCTCAGGTGAGGATTAACCAAAACAAAATGAAGTAAAATAAAGCAGTAAAAGTCAGCATTGGGGAGCTATGCAAGAAGTAAAAGGCATGCTCCCTGACCTCTAGGAGAGTGGGATGAAGACAGAACAGAGGCAGAACTGGAGGGAAGAACCAATTCTTTCATTCCTAAGAGTCAAAGCAGGTTCTGAAGGAAATGGTGCGTCCAGAATACTGCACAGGTCTCAGGGTTCTCTGCAACCCCTCTACTGCGTCAGTGTTGAAGGGATGAAAAGTGGAAAGGAGGGATGGAAGAAGGGCCCAGACAGGATGGTCTTCTATCTCTAATAAAGTCTCATTCCCAATTATTTTTCCCCTGCTGAGGCCCCAACCAGATACACCTACCCAATTCTAGTTGTTTAAATTTCACTCATTTTACAAGACTCAGCTAGAAACCCACTTTCTCCATAAAATTTCAGCAACTAGTTGAACATTCATTTATCTCTTCTCTGAACACCTAATGGGTATATTCTTGTACTTCACAAGCCAGCCTACGACAGAACAAACACTCCCTTTAAAAAAATTCATAACAAGTGAATGAATGGGAAAGAATTCAGGAGGTTGTCAGAGTAACAGGAAAAAAGAAAAAAAGGAGAGAAAAAAGCTAGAGAACAAACCTTTCAGTGTGACTCTATCCTAATATTCAATCATTCAACTAGTTTTTAACTGAGGGCCAGCTATATCAGGTCCTGTGTAAAGTTCTAAAGACACAAGATAGACATGGGTCCCTACTTTCAGAATGTAAAGTCAGACATTAATCAAACAATTATAAGTGTGATGAATGACACAAAGAATCATTTAAAGAGAGAGGGAGGGAGGGGAAAATAGAGCAGTTAGGATCTACTGCATGGCTCAGTTAGAAGGTGACTATAGTTCTGACCAATAGATTGGGGACAAGTGGAAGATTCAAGGACCTTTTTGAAGGTAGATTCTCTGGATTAGGAGGTTGACAGAAGCAGGGAATAGGGGAGAGGAAGTGGTTAAGGATCATGCTCCCACCAAAACCGGTTTGGCTCAGTGGATAGAGCGTAGGCCTGCAGACTGAAGGGTCCCAGGTTTGATTCTGGTTGAGGGCATGTACTTTGGTTGTGGGCACATTCCCAGTAGGGGTTGTGCAAAAGGCAGCTGATCGATGTCTCTCTCTAATCGATGTTTCTAATTCTCTATCCCTCTACCTTCCTCTCTGTAAAAAAACAATAAATATATATATATATTAAAAAAAAAAGGATCATGCCCTTTTTCTGATTTGTGACCCTAGGTGGGTGGTGGAGCCATTGGCATGGTCAAGCAGCATTTGCTGAAGAGGAACAATTATGTTGATTGGGAGACAGAGGTTGAGATTCTAGGGACAGAGATGAGCTACAACTAATGTCTAGCTGTACACATAGGCAGGGCTGAAGTTTTTGAGAATGAAAGCTTGCATGGTCCCTGCATTATCTCAAGAAGCTTCTTCATAGTTGGGGCTGGGGAAGAGGCACCAATGATATCCTTCCCACCCCTACTCCCCCCCCCCAAAAAAAAAAACACTACATTTAATGATTATTGATTTGGATATTCTCCCCACCACTTCACCTCTAAAACTGGTGATTACAAGAATCCTCAAGATTGTCATCAAGCTAGCCATTGCTTCCTTTGTTCTAATTGCTAGGAGGAGAATAAGATAATCGAGTGGTTGCTCTGCTCTGGGAACCTGGTTTTCAAAAAAGACCTGAAACCTACCATGAGCTTTCTAAATTCTGACTTCCGTTGTTTCATTAAGACTAGCACTTGCTGAGGACTCTGTAAATAAGTTCTGAATTTCCACTGCCACACGAAGCAGTTGGGAGGAAGGAACGCTTTCTTATGAGAGTGACATGGGGTGTGTGTTTTTTGTCCTTGTTTTTTGCATAAACAGGGTTTTTCTTGTTGATGTAGCATTGGGTTTATTGAATTGCACCTGGATAAAATGGTGGCAAAACAAATACTGAGCTCATTCTTGTCAGAACTTCTCCAACAAGGCCTGCCTGGTTGTGTGAATCTTGCTCAGCTCCATGGACCTCAAGAATGTTGTTTCAAAGGAGTGGAAGCAAATTTAAGAGATGGGCAGTCCTTCCCCACCTGAGCCATTACTCACACTGGCAGAGAACAAGGCAAACCAAGAGTCACAGAGGCCCTTTCTCGGTGCTCCTGATGGTGTGTCTCACCTGGGACAGAACAATTGGGTGGAAGCAGGAAAACATTCACTTCATTGTAAGTGTGAATGACCCTGAGTAATTAATTACTCATTCAAAGAATGTACATTGTCCTCTTTCTGAGGACAATGGAGGGATAGGTGCTCTGGGGAATGAAGGACATTGTCCCTAATCCAGAAGGCTGTCAGAACTTGCCTAAACAGTTTCAGTAAATTTCTAAATGGTCTCCCTCCTTCTAGTCTGGATTTATTTTTATTTGCAGACAATAAAATTTTTTTGTGTGTGTGTCCAGTTCTACATGTTTAGGTAATGTATTCAGAATAACCACACCACCATCAAGATCTAGAGTGGTTCCAATGCTCCCAAAAATAGGAGGTGATGCTGCCCCTTTGTAGTCAGCTCCTTCCCTGATTCCCACCGCCTGGCAAACACTGATTTGTTTTCTGTTTCTATAGTCTTCTTTTTCCAGAACGTCATAGAAATGGAATCAAACAGATGTGGCCTTTTGAGTCTGGCTTCTTTCACTTAGCACAATACATCTGAGATTCGTTCATGGTGTTTGCACGTAACAACTAGTTCACCCTTTTTCATTATTGAATCATATTCCATTGGAGGGATGTGCCAGAGTTTGTTTATTCATCCACCAGTTGAAAACCATTGTGGTTGTTTCCCTTTGTTGGCAACTGTGATTAAAGCTTCTACAAACATTTGCATATCATTTTTAGAGTGAGCATAAGTTTTCATTTCTCTCTGGTAATTATCTAGGAGGAAGATTGCTGGGTTGAATGCTCTAAGTATGTGTTTAACTTTGTAAGAAACTCTCAAAGTATAGCAGGAACCTCCAAAAGCATAAATCAGATCATGTCACTCCTTTACCTAAATTCTTTCAAAGGTTTCCTTACACTTAAAGCAAACAGGAAGCTTCTCAGGCCCTTTGAGATCTAGCCACTGCCTGTCTCTGTGGTCTCCTCCGCCACCTGCTTCTCACTTGCTCTGTGCCAGCCTTCTCTCTCTCTTTCTTGTCTTGCTCTCAAACAGGCTGAACTTACCACCACCCTCCCACCATACCTCCCTCTTCCTTCTCCCTCTCCCGGCCCCCTGCCACCTCTTCAAGATCTTTCCACTAATTTATAATCCCTCTGCCTGGCCTGTTCCCCGCCCCCTTCTTCACATGGCTGGTTCCTTCTTGCCATCTGTGTCTCCGCTTAAATGTCACCTTCTCAGCAGCTTTTCCTGGATCCTCCCCAATCTAAAGGAGCCATCTCCTCCAGCCACTATCACAGCAGAACATTATTACTAACGGACATTTTCTTGTTTGCTTTGTTTCATGCTGGCTTTGCCATTTATAAGTCACCCCATCTGGGCCTCAGCTTTCTTATCTTTAAAGTGGACATTATAATACTTCCTCCCCTACTTGATTCTTTCTTTCACAATATTACAAGGTTCCTGAGCCATAAACTACATCTGCTTTAAACTTTTCTCTCTTGATTATTTTAATCACCTGCACATTATCAGTAAAAAGTTCTTAGGTGGGCATATTCCCTTTTACCTCTATAGTTGAATTCCTAAATTTTAATGAGATGGACCAGATGTAGTTTCTTCCAGAGGGCAACTGGTGATAGTCATAATGATGCATATTTAAGTACTTGTTCTGGAAAGTTTTATTCACACAGACCCCCATTTTGTCAGCGTATTTCAGGTTTCTGGAGGAAATGAATTCATGTGGGCCCTTGGTGGGCACGGTATTCAAAATGTAATGCAGTCAGTGGTTGTGCTAGAACTAGTTGGCACTAGACTGCAAGAGCTGGTTGTTCTATTTTCAGGAATTTTGCTAGCCAGTTGTTGTACTATTGGTAGATATTTACACCACAGAAATTGGTAGACTCTGCAAATCAGGAATGGCGAGTGAGGTGATGGCATCTGAACTGGCTTCAGACTCGCCTGGGTAAGACTTAGTTGCTCATATTAGACCAGGAAGACTAACTTCTCACCAAACCTTTTCATCTTCTCAGCCAAACCTCACGGCAAGACACCTGCTAGAGAAGAACAAAGGCCGCCAGCCCTCCCGCACAAAAAGCCTGTCCCTGCTGTCCTCCTCCTCCAGAGGCAAAGCCACCAATACGCCCAGCCTCAGAAGGGGCCCTGGGTCCAGGAGGAAGGGGCCCGGGCAGCTCTCCATCACGACAGCCTTGAACACCCTCAACAGGATGGTCCATTCTCCCTCGGGGCACCACATGGTGGAGATCAGCACCCCAATGCTTATCAGCTCTAGCAACCCCTCTGTGATCGGCCAGCACGTGGAGAAAGCAGATGTTCTTCCCGGTTCCTTGGGACAGGTAGGAAGCAGACCACTGGGATAAAGGCACCTTGGAGTTGGTCAAGTGATTCACACCATGTCACAAGCAAAATTGGATGTTTACTACTGGCTAAGCACTCATTATATTATAAGTAATATTATAATAACTGTTTTGTGTATCAGAGTTGTGATCTATCTGGTCCTTGAAACAGCCTGTGAATTAGGTATGATTAGTGTTATCCCCACTTTACAGGTGAGAAGACCGAGGCTTAGGGGAGTTTCATGATTTGTCAAATTCTCACAGATGCTTTGCTTTCTTGTGTTAAGAGTCTTAACATGATCCCTTTCCCCCTGAGACTTTCCCTTTAAGGAGATAATGGCACCCATTTTTCAGATGGGGTCCTGGCATCACAATTTGAAATTTACTGGTCCATCCTCCAGAAAGGTACTGGGCATCATGTGGAAAAGAAGAAAAAGAATTTATGAGTCATTGGGTGTTTGGGAGGCTGGCTACATAATTTTCAGGACCCAGTGAAAAATGCTAATGCAGCTCCCTTGCTTGGAAATTAAGAATTTCAAGATGGCAACAGCAGAGTATTAAACATGTGGAGGGCCCTTCTGAGCACTGAGCCTTGTGTGACTACACATGTTCCACACCCCTGAAGCCAGGCCTGGATGCTTTCATAGGGAGCATCTAATGAGATACTGTATGTAAAGTGCTTAGCACAATGCCAGGCACATACTAAGCACCCAATAAGCATTGCCTCTTAATACTGTTCTTAATAAGCCTGGTCACTGAGTTGCCAGCTGAAGGGAAAGAAACCAGGGCGACTGTGCACTCCGAAGCAGAAGTATCTCTAACAGCATGTGGCTCTTCAGGCTGAAGGGTACTTTAGCACGTGAAGGGCTGGAGGTATGAGGCAACGTAATTAAGAACTGCATGTTGGGTATTATGCTGAAAACACTCTTTGGAACCATGCAGGTGGCAACTTGAGAGGACAAACCTCAACTTGCGTGATGCATTTTTTTAAAGCTGTGAATCTTGTTTTTAAACATGAATCTCTACCTTGGGATTAAATGGCTTAATTGGACTCTAATCCCTTTTTAACAAGACAGGGAGGAGGAGAAAGTCAAGGACTCCTGAAAGACCTGAGTGCTGGTCTAACAGGAAAACAATCACCTTTTATAACACTTCACATTTTACACCGCTGTCTGGATCGACAAGAAGCTGGCTGTCCCTGTACCTCTGCGCGCTCGCGCATACACACACACACACACACACACACACACACTTACCTCCATATACACTCTCCTCCAACTAAAAAAATCACACATAAGGATCCCATTCTACACACACATTGTTACAAGTACATATACACTTTGTGCCCAAAGTTCTCCCTCCAATACACATACACACACATACACACACACACACACACACACACACACACACACAAATGGGGGGCCTATTGACTCACAATTAAGCTGAAGAGTGACAAATTTTTCTGAAACTATTCTTTATATATAGACAGATATATAAAGTACCGCCCACATTCAGTGGATTCAGCTAGCTGATTCAGCTGTAAGTTGGCTTCTCAAAAAAGATTTAGCCAAATCACTTTCTATGTGTCATTTTAATTCTCCTTCCTGCTCATTTACCTCATCTACAGAGAGGGTGGACAGGAGCGGAGAATCCTAATGGAATTAAAAACAAGTATTCCTCCCTAGTTTCATAAACAGTAAGAATTCCAAAATGTGGCATATGCATATACTATTCCCAGGAAACACCTGCACGGTATTAATAGTGTATGTGTGTGTGTTTTTTATTCAGAAGGCTGTGGATTATAAGTATTTCTACATTTTTGCACAGTGTTATCATGAGCAAAGGTTTGTGGAACAAATAAATGCTGTTCCTCCAGGAATTTATTTTTGATGCATTTACCTGTCATGATCCTCTCCATACCCCAAAGCCCTGTATGCCTACCATTCCTTCATGGCAGCTCTGCCTTCCCCTCCCCTGCAGAATTAATCTCGCTCCCCTGTGGCCACAGTGCATGGCTCTCACTCTGGTTCTTTGTACTATAATCTTACCACCTTGCTCACTAGATTGAAAACTTAAGGGCCAGGATGGTGTTTTGTTCATTTACGTTGCTGTTGACTTTCCGAAGCCCCAGTAAAGGTTTCCAATAACATATTTTGCCTCAAGAATAAAAAAAAACAAAGCAGCAGCCTATGACTTACTTAAACAATTACCAATCCTTTTCCCCTCTTATAATTATCCAGAAAAACGAGAGCTAAGACAGAGAAGGAAAGGCTGCAGAAGTCAGTGTAAGGAATGCAATACCCTGCCCCTCCCAGCTCTGCCCCTCCTCTGTCCCATTCCAGGATGCTAATGAGAAGTCCCAGTATCCCCCTGGGTTCTTGGGAAGATGAGCCGACATGCACCTTGGGGAATTCTGAGATCTATAAAGCTGACTCCTTTCGATCCTATATTTGAAATATTCTGAATAAAGTGATTTCTTTATTCACTTTATTCGAGTTCAAGGAGCTTGAACCATTAAGTCCAGGTCCTGTTCCAGGTGTCCCTTTGTCTTCATCTTTCAGAGGAATCTCCCAACCCAACTTCCCAGTACTCAGGAGCGTCATGAGAGATGGCTTCTACTTAGTATTAAGATAATTTTTTCCCTTGGACACACTCGCAGTCTAATTTATGGTTAAGATGTTTAGCTAATCCTCCTTCTAAGGTAATTTACAGAAATAAATTTATACCGAGAGGTGGAATTATTAGGTCATATGGTAACCCTAGAGTTAACTGTTTCAGGAACTGCCAACTAGTTTCCAAAGTGATGGCACCATGTTGCATTCCTATCAGTAGTGTGTGAGGGCTCCAGTTTCTCCACATCTTCACTGACATTTATTACCTGCCCTTTTAGGATAGGCATCCTAGTGGGGATGAAGTGGTATCCATTGTGGTTTTGGTTTTCAGTTCCTTGATGGCAATGACGTTAAGGAGCTATTTCTGTGTTTATTGGACATGTGTTCTTTGGAGAACTGTCTATTAATATCCTTCGCCCATTTCTTAGTTGGCTTAGTTACCTTCCTCTTCTTGAGTCGTGTTCTTTATGCATTCTAGCTGCAAGTCTCTAATCAGATACATAATGTGAAAATGTTTTCTCAATCTATGGATTACCTTTTCACTTTCTTGGTGGTGTCCTTTGAAGCCCAAAATGTTTTAACTACGATGATATCCAATTTACCCACTCTTTCCTTTGTTGCTTGTATTTCCGTGTAAGAGTTTTATAGTAATAACACCTTTAGTTGTAGGATGCAGTTGGAGTTAATTTTTGCACATGTCATGAAGTAGGGGGTCCACATACCTTCGTTTATAGATAAAAGAATACCTGTCATTTTGCGTTAAAATTGTTCAGATCCAGGTGTTGTCAGCCTTCTCCATCCATTATAAGGCTCCCCATCAGCATTTCACCTAATGATTTGAGGTTTTATTCATGAATACATTTCATTTTGGATTGAAAATGGTGACATTCTAAATCTATCATTCTTCCTGCAATTCTTCTATGAGATTGACTACTACTTTTTGAGAGCCGATAATGTGTAAGATGCTATCCTGTGAGTTTAATCTAAATTCTTTCATAATAATCTCAAAGCATGCACATCATAGGCCCTCATCACATACTAGGTAACCAAAGTTCATGCTTCAAACACTATATTCTCTCATTTATTCTCTCTCTCTCTCTCTCTCTCTCTCTCTCTCTCTCTCTCTATATATATATATATATATATATATATATATATATATCATTCTCCCTCTTGTTTCCTCTTGTTTTCTCCTGGGCGTTCCCAGAGACAGGGCTCATTTCTCACCACCTTCTTGCCTGGCATGTTTGACATCACTGAACTGCTACCCATTTTTCCACTGGCCACTGCCAGCTGGGCTAATCTTTCCCTGCCTGTTGGTGCCAGTCTCCTTGTTTACATCCTTATCACTGCCCTCAGGCTGGCCTTGGTGTCCTGGCCCCTTTGGCCATGTGCTCACCCTCCCGCCCCTCCTGAGGTCTGGTTCCCACACTTGGGCTCCGGCCAGGAGAAAGGCTGGGGTTGGTCCAGTCTGGAGAAGAACAGGCTTGCGGGCTCATGTGGAGATGGGCAATGGCTTTATTTTTCCAAACTTGAGTTTATGTACTGATTCTGTGTTCTGGTGTCCAGATGAGAAAGGGGGCACAAATCATAACATGGAGGACTTCATGAGGCACAAGGAGAAATCTCTCCTAGCACACAGATCCTAGGAAACCAAATACTGAAAGTGCTGAAGGAACCAATAGGATACTCTTCTTATTGGGTTTTGCTTTGCTTTTTGCTTTCCTCCATAGAGAACGGCAGCTTAGTAGAAATAAAAAGGCTTTGAGTCAAGCAAAGCTTCCTGTCATGATTTACCCACATTGAGCCTCGGTGTTCTCCTCTGCCACATGAGTAGGTGTAGCCACGACCCAGGAAGCTGTAGCCATCGCTTGGACCTCCTTTCCTCCAAGCAGAGCCTTCGAGTGTTTCATCATGAATGTGATTGAAGGGAATCTTTGATTTAGGGCAGGGAATGAGCCAAGCATCTTCCAAAATCTAGATTACCCTTTCTATCTGAATCCCCTAAGGCTATGGTTGGCAAACTTCGGCTCGCAAACCACAAGTGGCTCTTTAGCTTCTTGAGTATGGCTCTTCCACAAAATACCACAGCCTGGCTGAGTCTATTTTAAAGAAATGGTGTTGGAAGAAGTTTAAGTTTTAAAAATCTGGCACTCAAAAGAAATTTTAAGCGTTGTACTGTTGATATTTGGCTCTGTTGACTAATGAGTTTGCCGACCACTGCCCTAAGGTGTATTTTTCACAAACTACTAGCAGATATGGAGGTGATCTTGTCTCATTTTATATGGGGGGGGGGGAGGGGGCTGACACGAAAAGCTATTTCCATAACAGACTCAAGGTCTCCCCCCAAAAAATAAATGAACTAGTTGCAATTTCAGATAGAAC